TGTAGGGGCTTTATTGCAATGAGGTATGGCCTGATATTATGTTCTTATTCCAGTGTGGGGTGTGTGGGGGGCAATGGAAGCTGAGTGATAGGGTCTCTCCAAGTGATTGCCAGAAGTGAGATGCGTCCTGGTCTTGTGTCTTACAGATAATCTTACAAATAGTCCTTTGCATTTATATCATGCTTTCAACTTTAAAAGGATCATAATGCTGATTGTGTGAACTTAGGCAAATCACAAGAGGTAAAGCAGGAAGGGTTGCATCAGTGCTTAGATCTTGTGGCCCTTTCTTACACGCCCGAGGAAATGCTGATCGCCACTTTGGGGCCAGGAAGCCATTTTTCTCGAGGCCAGTTTGGCCCCCAGTGATCCTGGAGGGTTTTTTAATCATATTCTGGGCGTGGAACAGGGGTCACTGGGGTGTGTGGGGGGTATTGGTGAATTTCCTGCATTGTGCAGGGGGTTGGACTAGATGACCCTGGAGGTCCCTTCCCACTCTATGAGTCTATGATTCTATAATTCACCCAGGCCGGCTGTGGCCACGCCAGCACTTCTGTCAGGCAGAAGTGCCTGAGATCCTCCTCCTTCCCTTTTCCTTCTCCCGACTTGGAGGCGAAGGGAAGGGAGAGGGGGGAAAGAATGGATCCCAGGTGCTTCTGCCTGTCAGAGGGGCTGGTGCACACTTCCGATGATGTCAGGGGGTGTGGCATATGCTAATAAGTTATGCTAATGAGCTCCTGCAGCTCTTTTTCTAGGAAATGACCCCTGCTGAGACCCCTCCCCTCCCCAGACCCCGCCCTCTCCTGGATCCACCCCCAAAGTCTCCAGGTATTTCCCAACCTGGACCTGGCAACCCTAGTCTCTGCAGGCAGCTTTATTCCAGCCTGTTAGCCAGGGCCATGAGATACTCTTCTATGCATTTCAGTGCTGTTCAATTAAAGCCCGGTGGACCTATGAAAGGGCACTGGAGACAAGCTAGATTTAATTGATGCAGGCTTCATCTTCGCACTAGGAGCTGCGGTGGCTCAAGTGGTTAAGACGCTGAACTGCAGGCTGTGGAAGGTCGGTAGTTCAGCAGTTCGAGACCCGAGTGTGCCGCATGACGAAGTGAGCTCCCGTCTCTAGTTCCAGCTCCTGCCAACCTAGCAGTTCGAAAGCAAGAAATTGCAAGTAGATAAACAGGTACCACTTTGGTGGGAAGGTCACAGCGTTCCGTGCGCCTTGGTGTTTAGTCATGCCGGCCACATGACCACGGAAACGTCTTTGGACAGCGCTGGCTCTTCGGCTTGGAAACGGAGATGAGCACCGCAACCCTAGAGTCGGATTCGACTGGCTTTCGAGCAAGGGAAACCTTTACCTTTACCTATCTTCACGCTAACATGGCTGTGCTGTCTCTGTAAGTCACAGTGGAAGAAGAAGCAAAAAGAACCCTCTGAAAGCATGTTTGTTTTCCGGGGGGGGGGGGGCCTTTGGCTGCCTCCGAGGACAACACAGCCAAGTTTCTCCACCGCGTATCTATCGCAGATTTTAGGGGGTGATCTAAAAGCAGCCCTGTGGCTCTACCAATACCCACTCCTGTTTTAAGAAACCCGAGCCCGGCATTTGACACACCCGGCGATTTAACCAATGGCAGCTTGAGAGAGCAGAACCTCCCTTGGCAGCCTTTGAGAGAAGGTTGCCAGGACTTGTGCTTGCAGTCCGGCCTTCTAAAAACAGAGCGCAGTGTGTGTGTGTGTGTGTGTGTGTGTATGTGTGTGTGTGTGTGTGTGTGTGCAGGTGGATTTGCTCACACACTGCACCGTGCAAGTTGGCACACACAACTGGGATAAGCACAGCCCCTTCCCCACACCATCCTGAGGCTGTTCGATGTAGCAGATCTGACCTCCTTCGTGCAGGTCCGTTTTTAGGCCATGCGTCCTGGTGCTCAAAAAGCAGGGAAGAAGTGAAACGTGGGGTTGCATGGGGACCCCATGGCTATGCAAAGAGATTTCCAAACAGGGCTGGATGCAGAAAGCTGCCCTGGGCAGACCAGCAAATCTATCTCTTACCCAGTGTTCCACCTTAGCTGAATTAGCTCACAGTTTTTTAGCCTCCGGCTCACAGAGTTTTGTCTTAGTTCAGGAAGGACGGCGCCAGAGCAAACTGATTTGTGCAGTAGCCAAATCGCCCGCTCATAACTTTAATGCCAGTCGCTCACAAAGTGGAATTTTTTGCTCACAAGACTCCACAGCTTAGGGGGAGCATTATTCTCCATGATAATGGAGATGCCTCTCTATACTCCTTTGCGGATAAGAAAACAAGGGGGACACCATACCACAAGGTGAGACATCCCTGTAATTAAATCTTTTATGTGTTCTTAGAAACACAAAACGGAGTCACAGCCGCATGGTCGTCGTCTCATTGAGTACCAGCCCCACCCCACCCTGCCCTCCCACACCCGTCTATGTCTCTATCCTACCACATGCCAATAGACACTGGAAAGTGACAAAGCATTCTCAACCCACGGTGAGATTTCCTCATCTTAAAAGGTTTCTGTCATCTCGCCCAAAGCTCTGACACCAAGTCTTTTGATTCGACCAGCAAAATACAAAAATCCAGAGTAAAAGGGAAAGGAATCTGTCCTTTGCATGCAGGGGGGAAAAAAACGAATACTAGGTTTGCATGAGTCCGTGCTTTGACCAGCACCAATTTCTGAGGCCGCCGTTTTTTAAAAAATGAACATCATTTGCAGCTGCTGTCGGTGTCCAAAATCACTCCACCATACAAAGTCATGGGCGTTCCCCCCCAAGCGATGACGTTCCCCTTCTCCGCTCCATTCTTGCAGACGGTGAGCTTCTGGACCTCTGCATGGTCAAGGACACGATTCCAGAGGTTGAGGTGGCTCAGCCAGCCAGAAAACCCATTGGAGAAAACATCCAGCAGCATGTTCTTCTCCTTCCCAAGAATGACCATCCCGCCCTTTTGGATGACGTACCCCTTTTCCACATTCTTGCCCGTGCCTTCTGCTCCGTTGACCCACAGATTTACAACCCCGGTGTGAGAGTCCCACGTAATGCAGTGGTGGACCCACTCGGTCAACTCGCGATGCAGACTAAATTGCAGAGACTGGCCACCGATCCACACACCCACACCTGAGCCCACCGTGGCCACCAATTCTTTTTCTCTCTCCAGGGTAGAATAGTGGAACACGGTTTGGGTCCCTTGGTTATGGTTCTGGGACCAGAAGCAAAGCGTGAAGGCGTTGAAATTCATCTCCAGCAGGGGCCGGACTTCAACATAGCTGCCGACTTTCTCATGGGGGAAGTGAAAGGCCTGGAACGGGGTAGGATGGCCACCTGGAACAACCAACCAGAAACTCTTATGTACAGGCGGTACTTGACCTGATACTTGGAATTACCAGTCAGAAACTCTCCTGTTACAAGATAGTTCCCAACCTGGCAGAACATAACCTCTCATTCCAATGTTTGTCACAGGCAGAACACTGGACTTGTATTCTGGACAAGACTACCCTGCACATTTTGAAACAGATTTAAATTGCTTTGACTGTCTTGGCTCACAGTGGAAAAAACTGCAAGAACTGCAGTTCTGTGGAGGGATCTCTAACAGAGACTTTTCACACAAAGTTATAATTTCTGGGAGTGGGGAAGCTGTGGTGGTGGGCAGGGGTCGTTTCGTAGAAAAAGAGCTAGGGGGACTCATTAGCATAACTCATTAGCATATGCCACACACCCTGACATCACCGGAAGTGTGTCATAAGGCCACACCCCCTGACATCACCAGAAGTGTGTCATAAGGCCACACACCCTGCCCCCAACGGTCCCGGCCGCCGCCGCCAACCTTGCAGCTCCACTGCCGAGCCCCATGAGGGGCCCGGTGGTGGACCTGCAAGGCCAGCAGGAGTGCAAGGAAGCCCCGCGAAGGCCCTCCCTGGCCCCAGGCAGTCAGGGATGGGGAGAGGCAGGGAGGAAGCAACTTACCCTCCCTCTTCTCCTGCCTCCTCCTGGCTGAATGAGGGCCGGAAGCGGGGTGGCCGGAAGCAGGGGGTGGGGCTTCGTCATGTGCCCGCCCCGTACCTCACCCAGGGGAACTGCGATCCCCCGCGATCCCCCCAAAATGACCTCTGGTGGTGGGACCATAGCTTGATGGTAAACCATCTGCTTGGCATACAGAAGGTCCCAGGTTCAGTCCCCAGCATCCCCAGTTAAAAGGATCAGACAGCAGATGACATTAAACGCCTTTGCCTGAGACCCAGGAGAGCTGCTGCCAGTCAGAGTAGACAGGATTGTTTTAAAAAAGCAACAAAAGGCAAGTCTGTAGGGGTGCACAATCCACCTGAGGGTCCCAACTCATAGGCTGAAGACCAAATGACTCTAGAGCAGGGGTTCCCAACCTTTTTTGGTACGGTGGTCCACACAAGTCCAAATTTACTTGTTATGGTGACCCACTTTGGGAAAGAAAAAATGGCATGCACAGATCAACAGAACTGCAAAAGATCGATTGGGACCCACTTTCACAGGCTTGGTGACCCACCTTTTGGGTCTGGACACAAAGGCTGGGAATTGCCGCTCTACAGGACATCAGGCTGGTGTTTAATCTCTGTCCAGAAATACTTCTCCATCCTCTTCAATGGAGCCACAGCTCAAAAAGACTTGGCTGCTGTGGCCTCATTTATCCTAGCCTCCTAGCGCCTGGGACTATGGGTGGACCAAAGAAGATAATAGCTGGGACAGGGACAGGGACAGGAAACAGGCTTTGTACACAGGAGGTCTGGGGTTCAGTCCCTGACATCTCCAGTTAAAAATATCTCTCAAGGAGATATCTCTCAGGCACTAGGAAAAACCCTCCTCTACCCAGGCCCCTGGAGAGCGGCTACCACTCAGGGAAGACATGACTGAGCTTGAGGATCGACAGCCTGACTCGACGCAAGGCAGCTTCCTCTGACTCAGCAGTTCGCATGGCTGGCTTCCACGGCTGACTTTTCTTGGAAAGGGAAAGAACCACCGGTTCTGTCTTCTTACCCGGCTTCCCCATGACATGCACAAGGTGCCTCTTCATTTCCTGGAGCTGGGTCCGTATTTCATCCAGTTTCAAAGTGAAGGCTTCCGAATGGCAAAACCCTACAGCAACGCAAGAACCACCGTAATTAGTTTCATGATTCCTGTTCATGTAGGATACTATCAATATCGTGGCGCTGTCACACAGCAACATGATAGGAAAAAGGGGTCCTTCCCCAAGGATCTTACATATCAAATTTCAGTAATGGAGAAGCAGAGAGGCTTGGGAAGAGTCCGAATGGTGATTCTTCATTTCAATAAGTGTGTCTTGGTTTTAATAAGGGATTGGTAGTCATTTTTGCAGTAAACAACAGGGCTATCACTTTGGAATTGTCGGAAAGCAGCCCATAAACTTATTTTTTGGGGGGGGTCAATCAACGGTAAAATTACTGGATTACGTGATGGAGGAAATGAAAAGAAGAAGAAGAAGAAGAGATTGGATTTATACCCCGCCCTTCACTACCGAAAGGTGTCTCAGAGCGGTTTACAATCTCCTTTCCCTTCCCCTCCCCACAACAGACACCCTGTGAGGTAGGTGGGGCTGAGAGAGCTCTTTCCAGAGCTGTCCTTGAGAGAACAGCTCATCAGAACTACAGCTTGCCCAAGGTCATCCAGCCAGGTGCAATTGGAGGAGTGGGGAATCAAACCCGGTTCTCCCAGATTAGAGTCCGCGCACTTAACCACTACACCAAACTGGCTCTCCAAAAAGGTGGCATTGTAACTGAGCTGTTACCTCCATTTCTCAGAAAGATCGACTACTGCAAAGATCAGGTGGAAGTGTGTGTGGGGGGAAGGGGTACTGCTAGGTCTTTCCTCTGCTGCCCGAAACTAACACTGGCACCCTGAATGGATACCCTGAATGCCTTGGGACTATTCCAATAGTGGGTATATTTCCATGACAACAAATCACGCCAGTTGGGACTTCTTGACCCTCTTCCAGTTTTCCAGCAACTCTGTCACTGTCACTCTAGCAATCCAAATTTTCCTTGCTGGGCACCACCTTTCACCTACTTCTACAGAGGCCAACGCTGCTCCAGAGAGGAAACTATTGCAAAAATATGCTACACGAGGGGTGAGCTAAACTTAGTCTTGCATGATCTGCTTGATGTCGAATCCTTGTGATCCAGCAACGTACAAAGCAAAAGTGCAGACTCAGGACTAAGTGAAGCTGATCTGTGTTTTGGGGTGTGTGTGTGTGTCTTGGGTGACCTTCCATGCTAACAGATTCATTGTGCCTTTCATGGATGAGAGCCCATGTCATCTGGTGTAGGAAGCAAGTAATCTGGCATATATATGGGCATATAAGAAAATTGTAAACACGTGCCGTGAAATCCACTCAGAGACATATCTACCCTAAGCTTAAACGTATGCAAGGCAAACACCGCGTACGTTCATGGTTGGTCACATCACAAATCTTTCCAAGCCATGCTAAATTAATCTTTGTTAGGTGATCCAACCTAAAAGGACTATTGAGGCTGGGGAAAGGAAGGGGGGGAATGATGTGAGGCTAGGTAATACCAGGGGCCCATCAAGCTGGGCAAGTCATACAATTGGTTTCCATATAAAGACTGGGGTGGGTTCGAGTGCTATGAAGAGGATCCCAGAAAGAACCGGCAGCCCCACATATAGATACTTGCATAAGAGCATAAGAACAGTCTTGTTGGGTCAGAGGAATTCAGTGTGCCGTTTGAATACAAAGGTAAAATCCTTCCTAATCCAACTTCCTACTGGTATAAACAGGGGTCATTTCCTGCAGGAGCACACAGGAGCAGAGCTCCGGCAGTAAGCAGCCCAGGGGACGGGCACATGCAACAAACCCCACCCCCTGCTCCCAGCAGCCCTCAGCTGGGCCACGAGGAGCAAGAAGCAGCCAGGTAAGTTGCAGAGCCCCCCCCCCCGGCCCGCCTTCAGGTACAAGCTCTCCCTCCTCTGCGAGGGCAGATATGCGCATTCCCACCCCCCATAGCTAGCAATCCAAAACAGTCCAGTGGCACCTTTAAGACCAAGTTTTATTCAGGTACAAGCTCTCTCTTCTCTGTGAGGGCAGATCTGCGCATTCCCACCCCCCATAGCTAGCAATCCAAAACAGTCCAGTGGCACCTTTAAGACCAAGTTTTATTCAGGTACAAGCTCTCTCTCTTCTGTGAGGGCAGATCTGCACGTCCCCCCCCCCAATAGCTAGCAATCCAAAACTGTCCAGTGGAGCCTGAGCGGCGGGTGTTGCCTTCTGACACACTTCCGGTGACGTCAGGGGGTGTGGCATATGCAAATAAGTTATGTTAATGAGCTCCTGCACCTCTTTTTCTACAAAATGACCCCTGGGTATAAGCCACCGATTCATACCTTCAGCAACCTTGACACGGAAAGAGGATTCAACCACCCTGCCGTTGAGGGGCTGGGCACGGCGGTAATCGTTCCTCAAGGTGTTGTTCTTCCAGTCAAGCAAAGAATTCTCCAGCATCCCAATCTGCAAACAGGCATGAGAGAATAATGGGGAAATGGCTGACACATTCCAGGGCTATTTTTGGGCAGGAACACACAGGAACGGAGTTCTGGCTGGCTCCCGAGTTGGCCACGCCCAGCAGGAACGCATTAGCATAACAGGCCACACCCAACAGCAGAAACTCATTAGGATTGGCTACATTAGGGGTGTGTGGCCTAACATGCAAAGGAGTTCCTGCTACAAAAAAGCCCCGGGTTTTGACAACAAACAAGGTAAACAGAATAAGAAGCAAAAGGTAGGTGTGGCTGAATGACCACACTTCTGGTAACATGGGGGTGCGGCCTAATGTGCTAATGAGCTGTGCTGTCAGGGGTGTGGCCTAATATGCTAATGAGTTTCTGCTGTTGGTTGTGGCCTATTATGCTAATGAATCCTGCTGGGCTTTTTCTACAAAAAGAGCCCTGCACATTCCCATCAAGTGGCATTCTCTCTGCACTTTGTGAACTGGGTCTGGAAGCCAAATCTAGCCCAAGTTTTTTGGGGGTGCCATTGGCCCTGCCACATCTTAATCCAAGCCAAGTGAAAATGGGTTAGGCCCCTGACTGAACTTCACAAACTTGCTGGTTTTAATTTAGTTTCTCCCTTTGTGAGAAACAGCCCTTATTTTCATATATGTTTCATGCCAACTTTTTTGCATTAAAATTTATGATTTTTTTTTACATTATTTGCACAATAATTGCTTATAAATGCTGTCAAAGCAACAGAATAATTGTGTCTACAACAAAAACTGATGCGAACGACCAGTCTATGGAGACAAAAAACAAACAGTAATGATGGCTTTTCCTTACGTGTTTTGATCCGTTTCATTCACAAAGGGGACAACTTTTCCCCTTAAAGTTGTTGGTACTCCAAGCAATGATGCTCTGTGTATTCTATATAAACTAAATTGCCTACTGTTTTGTGGGGTGGGCCCATCAAAGATCTGTTCCTGATGACATTGTTATTTTGAATAATTCTTAATTCTTTCTTTTTGAGTGAAACAATGCAGCGCACTTCTAGTTTGAAATGAGAGAGGTAAGAAATGTGCCTTTAACTGTGTTTTGTTGTATATTGTCATTGTAAGCCCAGTTTTATCCATTTTCATCACTGGGGGTCCCAGGTTCCCAATTCATTAGTTTCTTTGATCATTTATACAAAACTGACACAAAAATGATGTTAAAAACTCCATACATTAATGGGAAAGAGCTGTAACAAGGAAGCAGAAGATGGTGCAAAAGGAAAGGATTTGATTTGCACCAGGGAGAGGTTTAATTGAAAAGGGGGATTTTTAAATCTAAGGCGCAGGGGTGGAATATTCAAAATTATCCCAGTTTTAAACCAGGCAAGAAAATGTGCTTCAGCTATCAGACGTTTGGGTCTGGAGAACAGAGTTACCCCAAGCGGACAAAAGCCATTACTGCATTACCATAAAAGATGTTGTTATGGAAATAAGTGTGATATGTCAACTAATGCTATTTTCATCTGGCAAAATGCTTTCTGTCATCTGAGACTGAGTGACAGCTGTCGTGACAGCCAGAAAGCCAAACCCTGAGGAGGAGAAACAAAGAAAAACCTTCTGACCTGTGTGTGAGACAGCTTGATGGTTGAGTCAAATATGGTCCAGATCACAGTCTCTGAACAGGGCGGTGTGGTGAGGGAGCCCAGGTACCTGTAGTAATTTGCACGGTTTTCGGGCAACAAAGATAGGATGTCGAGGGTGTTGAGCACGGCAGACTGCCCTAAAAAGAGTAATAATAATTTTAGATTTAAAGAAATGTATGATTAAAGAAAATGGCAGCTAGGGCTCTGCAAACATAGGCTGTGCTCTGAACTCCAAGCACACAAGAGACTTAGTTCCGTTCACCTACTGATTCCTGCAGGTGGATTTTTCAAAATCACTTTTATGCCCAAGTGCCTTTATTCCTAAATGATCCTGAAATCCCCCTTTCGCTGAGCGAGCACAGCAGCCTTCTTAGAAGACGATCAAGGCTAACTTAAGGAAGAGATCACTCAAATGAGATAAATGTTCGTTTTAAGTGCGTAAGTGCTTGTGAATTTAAAAAGAATGGATTTTCTTCAGCTTCTGACAAGAGTGTTAGGAACATTGAAATACACATAAACCCTCAGGCTTGGCAAAAAGGTTCTTGGAGTTTCTGTCAGTGTAGAGAAATAACTGAATTTATGACTGGGGGTTCAGTCTCTGTAGAAGGTAGAGACTGAAAAGGATTTTGACTGGCTTTTCCATCTTCCTTACAATGAATACCCTTACAACCGACACTTGACTTTGTAGCTTTATATGGATTTACATTTTTGATAATGCTGTATATAAATTACGAAACCTAAAATGTAATACATGTCATCACTGGCCCTGGATATCTGATATTTTATCGCAGATTTTATTGATATTACACGTGCTTCACAATTTGCTATTTTGAGCCATATCCTTATAATTTATTTATTTACTGAAATTCATTTATATCCTGCCTTTCTCCCCAATGGGAACCCAAAGGGGTTTACATCACTGTCCTCCATTTTCTCCTCACAACAACCCTGTGAGATAGGTTGGGCTGAGAGAGAATGACAGGCCGAAGGTCACCCAGTGAGCTTCCATGGCACAAGTGGAGATTCGAACCCGATCTCCATAAGGCAGCCCCATTTAGCAAGGAAAGCTGGCTATTTTCAGGTTTTTATATATTAAGTGTGTTTTTCTCCTGTCTTTCCTTCAAGGAACAATACATGTCTTTTCTCCCCTCCTCCATTTTGTCCTCATGCAACAGCTAGACCACAGAAGCTGCAACCGCTCCTCTCTGAACCTGACAAAGGTTTGGCCTGAGGGGAAAGATAGAACAAAGAAATACACGGTGCTGAGGGAATTTTGAAAGGCCATATTTTCTAGTGATTTTTGGAGTTGTCGGTTGCCAGTTGTCAGTTTTTGGAGTTGTCAGTTGTCAATTGGGAAATTCCTGGAGATTTTGGGGGTGAAACCTGAGGAGGGCCGGGTTTGGTGAGGGAAGGGGCTTGTGGGGTGCAATGCCATATAGAGTCCCCCTTCCAAGGCGGCCATTTTCTTCAGGGTAACTGATCTCTGTCATCTGGGCATCAGTTGTAATCCCAGGAGCTCTCCAGCCACCACCTGGAGTTTGGCAACCCTACTTTCCAGTGCAGAAACGTCACCATGAGGTGATTTTTCTTTTTTGCCGGCATTCTGTGTTCTATTTATGCAGCACTCATATTTGTGCTCAGCGGCGCCACAATTATTTCTAAAAAGTCACCACAGTTTTTGTGCGGTGAATTCACAGGGTGACACAGTGACTGTTTGGGTGAGATCTTCATGTGAGGGCTGAGCGACATGTGAGGGAGGCAGACCCAGCTCTTTAACAGTCTCAGTGAAATGATTGGCAGTGTGGTTAGAGTTGCCGGACTGGAGAGTATTGGGTTCGAATCTCCACTCTCTCGTTATCAAGCCACTCTGTGACCTTGGGTCAGCCGCCAGTCTCTTTTAAAGAACCTCATACTGTGCTGAAAGAGAGCCTTTTACTAGCTATCAGTGGCTCTTCATTATTCGGCTCGCAATGCACAAACAAAATATTTCCATCACGCACACTAAAAAGAAATTGCTTCATCCTGCCCCAGTAAAGTATACGGTGGCAAGATTTTAAGGGTAAATCCACGCACATACCTGCATACTTGACTTTCGCCAGGCTGGCAATGAAATCACTGTAGTAAGTGTTCTCTAAATTCCCGTCCTGCAAAAGAGAAGGCAGCCATTTCAACTGGGAAAGTCCAGCAAGGCAAAGTTCACTTTCCCCTTCACCTTGACTTGCTAGCAAGCCCTGAATGTTTTGCCAGTCCAGAAAGAGAAAGAGACAGATTTTTAAACGCCTAATATTTCCTTTCCCTTTCATTTGGTGCCCTCTAGTGTTTGCCTTTATCACTATTTCCCTCCAAAAATTCTCCATAAAGGTCTCATCAGTTGTTATTAGAAGCTTGTTTGTGAGAAGCCTCCTTTCCTCTCAGGCTCAGACCATTTTAGAGCTAATTCCAATCCTCTTATTTCACAAATGCTTACCGAGTCCTCATCATTGGCATGGTTTTCACATAGAGAGAGTAAGATCACGCATATAGGAGTTAGTTTTGGAGAGCGTCTTCATTTGTCAGAAAGCTCAGCCTTTCACTTGAGTAAACATAGAAGACCAAGAGCGGATTAGCCTGGCTTCAGGTAGATGCTCCCCCTTGAAGGTAGGGTTTCCTCCCCAAGGGTCTATTGCAGAATATTTTCTCTGTTTAAGCACTCCTCATTATCGAAGAGCTTTTATGTTAGGCCATTTTAATGTGCTGCCTTTGTCTGTATTAGGTGGTAGGGTCTCTAAGACTCCTTATGCGGATAGATTATGGTATGTCCTTGTGGTGTTAATGAAATTGAGAGTCTGGAAGTCCAATCCGACGGCTCTTTAGATCCGTGCAAGGCACGATTGCCTCACGGATCTAAAGGTAATGTCCAGACACAAACATCTGGGAAATGTCCCTCTTCCGTGGGCATCCCGTTCTGCAGCGGGGGGCTACCGGATGGCGTTTTCCCCTCAGATGGCTGTGGCCCCGCCCCCAGCATGCCCGGCGGCGGAAATCAGGCCTCCAAAGTGGGGGGAAATCCGCCCCCCGGGGGGAATTGGCAGCCCTATGATTGATTGATTGATTGATTGATTGATTGATTGATTGAGTATGAAATTCCCTGCATTGAGGTTTTGAAAACTGGGCATTATGTGAAATTTTCCACAGTACATTTTGCCTCACCAGGTGCAAACCCGAAGTTTGCTCCTTCTTATCCCATGTTTTTGGAACTTGCTAAAACTAGGGATTTTTAAAAAACAGGGTAATGAGGAGAAGACTTTTGGTCTGTGCCTGGTGAGGAAAACTCTACTGCGGAAAATTTCACATAAAAACGTCGATGCGGGGAATTTCACCACTGTGGAAATGGTCTCACGGGTTTCTTTCTCCCCTCAGGAGTGGCTTTAAGAAGTCTTTGCTCTAGCCGCAGTTGGCTGTGAGGTCTTGTACTTGGGCACATCGACAAAATGGGTTCTAAACTGGTCATGTCCCCCCCCCCCCCTCGAAGAACAACTAAGTCAGACATCCTTGAGGCAGATTTTTTCCTTGGTGTTATTATGAAGATGATCTTCTCCTCCTCCTCCTCCTCCTGTTTCCTCCACATAGAGAAGCCTTAGCTGATCAATTGTACAGGCTTTAAACAATCGATCGGTTAACTGACGACATCTGGAAAAAGCAGCTTTTTTTTTAAAGCAGCTTTTGCTTTTAAGTGATATGTGAAGGTGTCACAGCGGGCAATATTGTGTAGTGGTTAAAGGGTCAGACTAGGATGTGGGAGACCCAGATTCAAATCCCCACTCTGCTGTGGAAACTTGCTGGGTGACCTTGAGCCAGGCACTCTCTCTCTCAGACAAATGTGCCTCACAGACGGTTTGTGAGGAAAAAATGAAGGAGGGGAGAATGGCATTAAACTGTTTTGGGTTCCACTGGGGAGAAAGACAAGGTATAAATGAAGTAAATCGATCGATCGATCTCCGAAGTGGTGTTTCCCCTTCTTCGTCATCCAGGAGGGAATGCCTCTTTCAGTAAAGACCGAGCACTAAAAACGTTGTAAGCAAAATTGACATCTGGTGCCTTATTAAATGGAGATTTTACCCCCTTGTCAATCAAAACATAACCGATTAATCAACTAAACATTGTTTATGTAGCTCCATTAATGTATGTGATTTTTTTTTATTTTTAAAAAAACCTAGGTAATAACAAAGAGAGATCCTTGTCCCAAGAAGCTGACAACCTAAAACTGGACAGAGGGGAGGGAAGGGAGGAAGACAGAGAGGAGGGCACTGGAGGAAAGAATATGGCTGCAATTCAGTTCCAGGCACTGAAGGTTACTTTTGGTAAAGGATACAGGGTTCAAGGAAAAGATGGGCTTTAAAGAAGAAGAAGAGATTGGGTTTATACCCCGCCCTCCACTACCCGAAGGAGTCTCAGAGCGGCTTACAATCTCCTTTCCCTTCCCCTCCCCACAACAGACACCCTGTGAGGTAGGTGGGACTGAGGGAGCTCTGGAAGAACGGCTCCTGAGAGAACAGCTCTGAGAGAACTTGTGACTGACCCAAGGTTCCACCAGCAGCTGCATGTGTCGGAGTGGGGAATCAAACCCGGTTCTCCCAGATTAGAGTCCACTCTCCTAACCGCTACACCAAACTGGAGGGATTGGAAGGAAGAGAAGGGTGGCACAATTCAACGGAAGGAAGATTCAAGCATAAGGGGCAGCAAAGGAGAAGAGGTGGAGACAAAGAAAGAGAACGGGAGATATATGGACAAAGGCGGTGGGACTGAAGGAAAGCAGACGGCAGGCAGGGGTGTCTGTAGTGACAGGAGACAAGGGTGGAAATAGAATTAGGCTTTGGAAGGCAGCTCTATCAACTGTCCGCCCAAAGCTCTGTTCCTTCCCCCTTCTGAGCAGCCACCTACCTCATACAGAAAAGCCAGGACTGCCAATCCGTCGGGCTTATCCTTCGCTTCTTCAAAACTTGAATACTTGGCTGAATTGTAGTGGACGATGTGCAGCTGTGAAGGACGAAGACCAGAACTGTTAAACAGTGGGTTTCAGTAGGGATCTTCATCCCTTGCATGGAAACCAAATTAAATTGTTGCCCCCTCTCCCACAGGATGATGGAGACACGATCCAGAAAGGATCTGATCTCTTGCCTTCTGACAGCAGCTCTTATAGAAACAGAACTATGTACGAAAGAATGATTTCCACCAAAGTGGCGCTCCTGGAACTGAACTAGGCAAGATGCTGGTAATTCTGCAAAGGGAATTCCCAAGTTTTCTGTGTTTTGTGTAAATAGCAGAAGTGCGGTGGCCCAGTTTAGACTGGGACTAGGCAGGGGATTCTAGGTAGCCCCTAAGCAGTGTTATAGAGGCAGGGAAAATTCACAGATTTGTGAATTCTCCAATATATCCTTCTCAGGGGTGGGGGTGGAGTTTCGGGTAACAACTGTTTAGCAAAGGAATTCTCTATTCGGCTCCCACTTTTAATAATACTTAGTATTTGCGTAGCACTTTCAAGTGTCCGAAGCACTAGGTATGTATTGCCTTGTTGCAATCCCTACAATAAGGTAACGTGGGTCAGCATTATCATGGCCCATATTTTCAAGAGGATTGAAGCTAAGAGATTGCCTAAAGCCAACTAGGGAGCTCATGGAAGAGGCGAGATTTGAACCAGGATATTCTGGTTTGTAGCTGGCTATTAGGCTGTGTCAGCTTCCAGTATGTGAAAACACTATTTTTTGCAAGGCTCCTCTTTCCAAATGGCTTCATACTTCAGCAATGTATCGCATCCCATCAACGGTATGTTCAGAACCACTGGCCTCGAGGTCTAGTCCACCCCAGTGAAAATGGAATTGGACCGCTGTGAAGGTCCCAGGAAGCCCTCTGGTGATGGTCATGGTTGGAGGTAGGTCTATCTGCACTGCAAAACAGCAAAAACAGGAAGTGATGTCAGAGATAAAACAGGAAGTGGTCGGAAAGAAAATATATACAACTACTGGCTTCCTATTCATGGAAGAAGAAGAAGAAGATTGGATTTGCACCCCGCCCTTCACTCGGAGTCTCAGAGCGGCTTACAAACTCCTTTCCCTTCCCCTCCCCACGACAGACACCCTGTGAGGTAGGTGGGGCTGAGAGAGCTCTGAGAGAACTGCACTTTCAAGAACAGCTCTGACAGAACTATGGCTTGCCCACGGTCATCCAGCAGCTGCAAGTGGAGGAGCGGGGAATCAAACCCAATTCTCCCAGATTGGAGTCCGTGCACTTAACCATTACACCAAACTGGCTGTATCACTAGCCATGGTGACTAAAGGGATCCTCCATGTTCAGAGGCAGTCACCCTCTGAACCCCAGGGCCAGGAAGCAGCATCAGTGGAAAACCTTGGCCTCTCTGCCCTGTTGTTGGACCTCCAGAGGAACTGGTTGGCCACTGTGTGAGATAGGATGCTGGACTAGGTGGACTACTGGTCTGATCCAGCAGGGCTCTTCTTACATTTTTACGTTCTTGTTTTCTGCAGTGTTAGGTAATTGGTGGGTATGTGTAAATCTTAAGGGTTTTCCCTCTTTTCTAAATGTTTTTGGTTGAAAAAAACCCTGTGAACATTCCATTACACTGAAGCATATGAGACTACAATGAGGGTTATTTTAAAGAGATCTAGGAGGAATACTCTTTCCTTTTCTTGCAGATGGATGGTTGCATTTGCAAGACTCTAACATGATCAAGTAATAAAATGTGTCACTGTTTCAGCAGCCATAGATCAAATCCAGAGGGAGAGAAAATTGGCATCTCTTTGGTAGAAAATACCCTGTGGAGTCCCGAAAAGAACATTTCATTCCTTTGAAACTAACACAAGAAGATCCGATTCCTTGCCCTGTGCTTTGCAATGTAGAAGGAGAAGATTGCTTTTGTTCATACACCCTGTGGTGGCAGACAGGTTGAAAACAGGTTTCTCTGCAGGTTGTACTATTTAGAAAAACCACCACCGTTACTCCCAGCAAAAAGCCCCACAAAAGCCCCAGTCTGCACGATGCTATAATTTTAAACAATTATTTAATAGTGTAATTATGCCATGACCCGTTATTTCCTAATTGGATTTTTTTTACATCCTTACAGGGCATAAATATCAGGAGAAAGGCCAGCACTGACAAAACTCAGTTCGTAGACTCACAGAAGGATTGAAAAGCTGTTGGGTCCAAGCTTTTGCAATGGAAAATTTACCAGCCGCATCAGGTGACTGCGGAAAACTGCTTACAGATCAAGCCATTTGAGGTGGCTCCTGTGAGTGAGCCAAGTTTCGTGCTTGCAGGAAAAAGTAAGTATTCTACATAGTGGCTGGCTAATTATTGTAGTTGGAATTTCTTCCTACCTAGTGATAATGTTCTGTGTATGATTACTGTATTCTCTGTTTTATGTTGCTTGTCTCACCTTTATGAGCAAGATGGAACAATCTGACCTTTTAGGGGTATAATGTTGTTTAGATTATGTGTTAATGTATGGCAGCCAGGAACTGAAGGCTACTTGAATGGCCTCTGATTCCTTCCAGCCTTGTGATTCTAGTTTTAATACATATTTTGTAATGTATTTGGAACGATTACATGAATCACCCCATTAGACTCCTATGTTAAGCTTCGAGCCATGCTAGGGCTCCTCTGACCGAACTTCCTATTGGTCGCTTTGTAACAGCGACCAATCAGAACAGTACTATTCCCTGGGAGGGAAAGACTCCCATTGGTCCCTAACTGAGCAATCTCATTGGTTGTTATTTGTAAATAGGCGTGGCTACATTAGCCCGGTTATGTTTAAAAGGAGCATAGCTCCCACAGTTTCTTGTTCTGGTTTCTAATGTGTTTGAGTGCTTGTTCGTTACTTCCAATAAAGCTGAATCACTTGCTGAATCACTCTACGAGTCCTTTGTTAGCGCGATCTAACACATTTCACTGTACTTCTGTACCTGAGAAGTTCAACATAGAATAGCTTATCAGCCTAGCACCATCCCAGGCAGTAGCATTTTGCCACATATCAGATGAAACCTTGTGGTAAACCAGGGGCTACCCTCCACCTCTCCCTTTTCCACCTAAGGATACCAGGACTCCTGCTATAGTATACTCTCTAGCATTTTGTGGAAACTGTACTGTAAAACCATAGAGTTTTTGTTAAATGCTGGAGCTACCTTGTGTCACTTCCTGTTTTACTGGAAGGGATGTGAGTGTGCTGGTGTGACGTCCAGTGTTCCCTCTAAGCTGAGTTAGTGTGAGCTAGCTCAGTTTTTTAGCCTCCAGCTCACAGATTTTTGTCTTAGCTCAGGAAAGATGGTTCCAGAGCAAACTAATTTATGCAGTAGCCAAATCGCTCGCTCAGAAATTTAATGCCAGTAGCTCAACACAGCAGGATTTTTGCTCACAAGACTCCACAGCTTAGGGGGAGCTTTACAGCATCCATTTACTGCAAAACCAGTAATGGCTGCTTACGACCGGTGTTTCCTCTAAGCTGAGTTACTGTGATCTAGCTCACAGTTTTTTAGCCTGTGGCTTACACATTTTTGTCTTAGCTCAGTAAAAATGGCTCCAGAGCAAACTAATTTATGCAGTAGCCAGATCGCTCGCTCGTAACTTCAATGCCAGTCGCTCACAAAGTAGAATTTCTGCTCACAAGACTCCACAGCTTAGAGGGAGCATTGGTGACGTCAGTGCATCAGGACCTACCTGCCCTTCCATTCTTTCTGGGAGCTTGGCACTGTGGCCTGGCAACCCACCCACCTACCCCTTTTTACAAGAGGAAAGGGCTGTATGTACAGTAGGGCTGCCAAGTGGGGGCGGGTGGCGGGTAAACCCCCGCTTTGGAGGCCTGATTTCTGCTGCCGCGGAATCGGGCCCCGGGGGGAACTCCGCCCCAACCGAAGCGCAGCGTGCCACATATCACCTCCGGTGACGCAACCACGTCGATCACGTTGGGGGCGTGGCCCCGATCGTCAGAGGGAAAACTCTATGGTTTTCCCTCCGACGGTCGGGGCCACGCCCTCAACGTGTCGACGTCACACGTCACTTCTGGTGACGTCCTGGTGGCGCGTGTGCGCTTTGCGCGCGCGCACGTCCACCGACAGCTCCTGGAGCCCGGTGAGGTTCCCCGCCGCCAAGGTAAATAGACTTGGGAACCCTAATGTACAGTTCTGGCATGAGAAATGGTGTCATTATTACCCACAATGCAGAGAGAGACAGAAATGGGGCTGAAGAAAAGTGACCGCTCTCTCTGTCCCGTGGCTGGTGACCGACGTCTTGTCAAGGCCCGAGCCTGGCTCCCAAAGGAAATTGGTTTTTTTAAAGTCTAGTAGATGACAGTAATAACAGCGTTAACAAGAACGCATGAAAAATACCAACATGTGCTCACATGTGCTGGGAAACAAAACAAAAACATTAGCTCACCCCCCCAAATAGAAAAGGCAACAAATTTACAAAGAGTGTGCACAGTCGATAATACCTCTGTGCAGAAACCTCTTAATGAGAGGCCGGGCCTGCGGAGCCGTATGTAATAAGCAGGCGGCCTGGGCCCATTCTCTTTCTGAGCGATACAATGAGAGCGTCTTTCGCCTCCGAGACAGTTTGTCTCCAGGCTCTGGCGCTGGTCTTGCATCTGTCCGCCGTCCTTTTAGACGCTGGAGGGAAATGAAGAGCTCCCTTGTTCAGCAGCTGAAGTGTAGTAGGTTAAACGCATGAAGAAACCACCGAGACTGATGTAGTGATCAGCATGGTTTACTGGTACACAACAAGACAAAGACAAATGGCCGGCTGACCAACTATATACATACCTGGGGACACACCCCTAGGTCCCGTTGGTGGGTTTAAATCTCCCGCCACGGTCCCATTGGTCCCTCAGTGGAGAGACCAGGAGCCTAGTCCCCATTGTTATTCCAGAGTCAAGCTCTGGAGTGTTCGCTGGCCCCTGATGGCGGTCAGCGGACACAACAGCAGCGGCGGCGGCAGGAGTGCCTGCTTTCTCTAGCAGACTGCCCTTTCCAGGTTATTTGTTTTTGAAATCACCCATCTCTCTGCTGGTCCAAAATCATGTGCCGCACATGTACCAAGCAGGGCTGGCCTGCTTCAAGGTTCTGTGATGTCCTAGGCTAAGCAACTATAAGGAAGGCCGAGCGCCGAAGAATAGATGCTTTTGAATTATGGTGCTGGAGAAGACTCTTGAGAGTCCCTTGGACTGCCAGGAGATCAAATCAGTCAATCCTAAAGGAAATCAACCCTGACTGTTCCCTGGAAGGCCAGATAATGAAACTGAAGCTCAAATACTTTGGCCACCAAATGAGAAGGGAGCGCTCACTGGAGAAGACCCTGATGCTGGGAAAGATTGAAGGTCAAAGAAGACGGGGACGGCAAAGGATGAGATGGTTAGGCAGTGTTATTGATTTTTATTTATTCATGCAATGAACATGAAATTAAGCAAACTCCGGAGCACAAAGGAAGACAGGAGGGCCTGGCGTGATGTGGTCCGTGGGGTCGCAAAGAGTTGGAATCGACTGTGCGACTGAACAACAACAAGGCTATGCAAAGTGATCTGTCTCTTCATAGTCTATACCAGAAACTCCTGCAATGTTGCGGGGACTGTGGGAATAGAGTCACAGCCAGCATCACGAGAGGCACACGTTGAATTCGTCTGCCCCCATGGCTAGAAGGCTTGCCAACCTCCAGGCGGCACCTGGAGATCTCCCTCTATTGTGATTGCTCTCCAGACTACCAAGAGAGTTCCCCTGGAGAAAATGGCTGCTTTGGAGGGTGGACTCTATGGCATTATACCCAGCATTCCCTCTAAGCCGAGTTAGTGTGAGCTAGCTCACAGTCTTTTAGCCTGTAGCTCACAGATTTCTGCCTTAGCTCAGGAAGGATGGCTCCAGAGCAAACTGATTTATGCAGTAGCCAAATTGCTCGCTCACAACTTTAATGCCAGCAGCTCACAAAGTAGAATTCTTGCTCACAGGACTCCACAGCTTAGAGGGAGCGTTGATTATACCTTGCTGAGGTCCCTCCCCTCCCCAAATCCCGCCCACTCCAGGCTCCACCTGCAAAATCTCCAGGCATTTCCAATTCCCAACTCAGAGGTTGACAGTCCTAATGGTCATGTGGGACTGGCTTGTATCTTTTTTGCCAGGTCTGCATCTATTGTCTGTGTCTATTCCTCGCAAGTCCAGACTCGGCCTTCTTAGTTTTCGTTTTTTTTTAAATGCACACCAAGTATGTAGTCCACATGAAGACAGGCTTTCAAAGGCTATTGGCAGCTGTTTAGGAAATCTCATAAGTGTAGAAGGTGGAATGAACCTGAGCTTTGACTCTCTCAGGAGGAAACTCTTGTTCGTTCCTACGGTGCCACTGGACTGGAGTCACACTGTTCTACCCTCTGAAAACAGCTAAGCATTGTGACACTAATTAATACAGGTTGCAGCCAATGCTCCCTCTAAGCGGTAGAGTCTTGTAAGCAAAATTCTACTTTGTGAGCTCCTGGCATTAAAGTTGTGAGCGAGCCATTTGGCTACTGCACCAATTAGTTTGCTCTGGAGCCATCCTTCCTGAGCTGAGACAACAATGTGTGAGCCAGAAGCTAAAAAACTGTGAGCCAGCTCACTCTAACTCAGCTTAGTGGGAACTCTGGCTGCAGCATTCACTTGCTCTTCACACAAAATGTTGATCCCCCCCCCTTTTGTTTAAAGAGCACAATGTGTGCAACCCAGGGAATTTTCTTAGGGCTTCACTGCATCTGCACATGAAAAGACACAGATCTCAGTTCCCTTCCCACCAGGGCTTTTTTTGTAGAAAAAGCCCAGCAGGAACTCATTAGCATAATAGGCCACACCCAACAGCAGAAACTCATTAGCATATTAGGACACACCCTGACAGAGCAGCTCATTAGCATATTATGTCACACCCCCATGCCTTCCTTTGGCAAGCCCCCCCTTGAAGGGAAGGGAAGGCAGTTTGCTTTCCCTTGGCTTGCCTGGGCTACCTGTGGCTGCGGGGAGCCTGGTCAAGCCGGCCCTTGGACAGGCCAGGGAAGGCACAGGGAGACATTTAAGTGCTTCCCTGATCCTTCCAGCCCCCCCCCCCCGGCCCTCCTGCCTCGAACTTGTCGGGGGGGACACTCTCCAGGCATTCACGCACGCAGAGGTTTTAGCTGTAGTAGGCGTGGCCAACTCTGGAGCCAGCCGGAACTCCGTTCCTGTGCGTTCCTGCCCCAAAATAGCCCTGGTTCCCACCACTTTAAGTTTCTCAGATTTTACAAAGTGTGCCTGTAGCCTTTGAAGCTTATAGGGGCTAGAAACTTGGCGTATGTCTATTTTGAATGAAAGCATGAAATTCTAACAATGTTGACTTTTGATTCCAATTCTTCACAAAACGGAAACAGCATAATTGGCCATTCTGATGCTACGCTTCATTTTTTTAAAAAGGTGCTTTCCACATTTCAAATTCACTTTACGCTGGTGTAAACAGTGCAATATAACTGAGCTAAGTATTGGCACCTCCCTCCTCTTCATTACTATTTATTGTCAGAAAGCTTTTTCTAGCAACATCCCCATGCCTCACTGGAAGAATTAACCAGCGTATAACACTGGATCCGTCCTTTTGTCATTATTTTTTAATGTCCAGTGCAGAAATGCAAACGACGCCGATGTTCTCGATTGTGTACGTGCTGCTGACTGGATTCCCCGCCTCCAGTTTGAGAAAATCAGCACAAAATTAGCAGAATAGAATAATAATAAAAAAAGAAACAGATGACAAAGCGGGAAGTTGAAATAAACGAGATCAGGAGAGGTAGCCTCATTCAGTTACAAAAATAATGACGCCGACAGAGTTTGCAAATGGTATTCAGCTGCAAGCGTACAAAAGCCATCCTCAAATCTCAACAGGTGTTTTAAGAGAAACTGTCCTGCTGATGTCACACACAGAGGTCTGAACCAGGGTTACCTTTATCTAGGGTCTGTATCAAATTTCTAACCCCGGTTTCGAACAGTGGTTTAAAGCTAACCATGAGTGGCATTAATCTTGGTGCTGAGAGCCAGTTTGGTGTAGTGATTAAGTACACGGACTCTAATCTGGGAGAACCGGGTTTGATTCCCCACTCCTCCACTTGCACTTGCTGGATGGCCTTGGGCAAGTGAGCCATAGTTCTGTCAGAGCTGTTCTCTCAAGAGCAGTTCTTGAAAGAGCTCTCTCAGCCCCACCTACCTCACAGGGTGTCTGTTGTGGGGAGGGGAAGGGGTTTGTAAGCTGCTCTGAGACTCCAAGTGAAGGGTGGGGTATAAATCCAATCTCCTCCTCCTCCTTCTGACAATACTTTGCCATAGTTAATGCCAAAAAAGATGAAGGAAGAGAGTTTATCCTGGGGGGAGAAGAAGGCTGTAAACCCATGAATTGTTCCCATTCTTGTAACCTTGGTTTAAACACAACTGTTAATGGGTTAGAGCCAGTGTTCCCTCTAAGCTGAGTTAGTGTGAGCTAGCTCACAGATTTTTAGACTTTGGCTCACACATTTTTGTCTTAGCTCAGGGAGGATCGCTCCAGAGCAAACTAATTTATGCAGTAGCCAAATTGTTTGCTCACAACTTTAATGCCAGTAGCTCACAAAGCAGGATTCTTGCTCACAAGACTCCACAGCTTAGAGGGAGCATTGGTTAGATCCAACCACTTTTTTTTCTGATGTTGAAAAAGGAAGGAGGGGGGTTTCTTTGACCCCCAAGAGCACTTATGCTGAGCATCAAAAGACCTGGATGTACAAAAGCCTTTTGGGATTGGGGAGGGCTGTAGAACAGAGGGGAACCGGGAGAGATTTAGTGAGGGAGCTGGGTAGATCCAATCACAGTCTACAAAAGACTACAATGCCATTAGGCCTGAAGGGACAATAAATAACACCCTTAAGGGACAATGAATTGCCACAAGCCCTGGTTCATTATGCATTTATGCAGAGATGGAAACGGTATGCAAAGCCTCGTATTTACCTGAATGCCCATTGTTGGTGATTGCGAAACTTCCTTGCAAGGGCCCGCCATAACCCACAAACTCCAGTGGCTCCAGTTCCGGGTTGTATTTGACATGCATCTTCTGAATATTGATAGGAGACTGGCGCTTTCCCAGGCAGTCCACAAAGTGGTTTCCCCAGTGGGCTTCATCCAGTTCCCCTTCTGCCATTCCACAGATAAGAACAGGTTGTTAGGCAGGGTCAAATTTCAGCCAAAGCAAAGCAGATCCCGAGGGCAGATCTGATGTCCTGACCCACCTTCCCTCACAGAAGCTGGACTGTCGACATTCTGTTGCTCTTAAACAGAGAAACCATGAAGCTAGTCAGACCACTGATCCATCTTAGCCCCATATGGTCTACTCTGAGTTGGTGGCTGCTTTGCAAGATGCTCTTCCCAGGCCGGCTACTTGAAATCTTGTTATTAGTAATGCCAGGATTTGAACCAGCAGATTATTTTTCTATTTAGACAACTTCATGGAGGATTGGTCTATTTATGGCAATAAAAGGAAGTCCTTCTTCACCCAAAGAGTGACTCACATGTGGAATTCATGGCCACAGGAGGTGGCGGCGGCTATAAGCACGGACGGCTTCAAGAGGGAATTAGATAAGCATATGGAGCAGAGGTCCAGAGTGACAGAGTGTTGGACTGGATGGGCCATTGGCCTGATCCAACATTGGCTTCTCTGATGTTCTTATTAATCCTGGTAACTACCATAAATGGAAAAACTCTGTGGATAGAGAACCCCTGAATGGGGGGAGGTAATTGAGCGGGGGTTGCTGGTGGGGCTTCCCCCAGGCCTCTGCCTGGCCACTGTTGGGAAATGGGTGCTGGAATAGATGGACCCTTGTCTAATCCAGCAGGGATTCTCCTATTTACCTTGGATTTTGTGGATGCAAAGTAGGTGCTCTGCCATATAGCTATGCTTCTTTTACAAAACGAACATCCGTGCACATTCCATGACATCACGGCAGGTCAGGACAGCTAATGGCTACTAAGAAGGCTGGAAAGTGAGTGCTGGTTTTATGGGGGGGAGGGGCTTTTTTCTCTGTCCCTTAATGTCAAAGTCTTGATGGCACTCCTGCAGTCTTTTCTAGACTCTTTCCCCCTTCCTCTTCTGGATATATTTAGCCCTTTTATAGCCGGGTAGAAATTTCAAGCCCGTCTCTCAAACCGCTCTGGCTCTGTTTCCAATCAATACGGAAATCTTTTCTCCCATCTCTGGCTGTTCCCTTCAGCATTAGCGGTGAGAGCAATCGATCCGTCCGACTGCACTCTCTCTTGCCGAGGGAAAGAACAACCGGACTCAGGGGCATTTCTTAAAAAGACACGCGGCCTTCTTCAGCAGCCTCCTAGAGAAGAGAGTTGTTTCCAGAAAGCTTTTTTGGGGGGAGAGGGGGGGGAAGTCACTTTTAAGAACATTTCTAGGGTTGTCAGCAGTGTTCCCGCTAAGATGAGTCAGTGTGAGCTAGCTCACAGTTTTTTAGCCTCTGGCTCACACATTTTTGTCTCAGCTCACGAAGGAGGACTCCAGAGCAAACTAATTTATTCAGCAGCCAAATCGCTCGCTCACAACTTTAATGCCAGTAGCTCATAAAGTAGAATTTTTGCTCACAGGGCTCCATAGCTTAGAGGGAACATCGGTTGTCAGCCCCCGGGGTTGGGAAATAGCTGGCTATTTGAGGGTGGAGCGTGGAGAGGCCTGGGCTTGGGGAGGGGCCTCAGTGGGACCCAATACAATGGAGTCCCCCCACCCAAAGCAGCCACCTGTAGGCCCCACCTGTAGGTTGGCAACCCTCGTTTCCCCTGAAGCACACTTACTTTATCCAAAGCAATGGGGTGTTTCAGGCATCGCCTTCGCCTGCAGAAATGGCTGCCGGTCACCAGCCGTACTCTGCAGCATACTAAAAATGCATTGTGACACTGGCGATAGACTCCTTTCCCCATTCCTTTGGACGTTATTGAGATCTCCCCTTTTGGCAACAAGCCTTCCCTTTTCCCCCCAACCTCTTGCAAGCCCTTTGCCCTGGACTTTGAAGCCCAAATGGCCAGTGTGTACGTTCTCTCTGCATCCCTCCCACTGCTGACACGCAACACTGGCAACAGGTTCAGGGGCTCACGACTTCTTGGAGCCAATCCCTGAGACCAACAGGGCAGTCCAAAAGAGAGCTGTACTCTTCTGCCAGCTTTGAAGGAAGTGGGGCATAGAAGGACGTAACGCTGCTCGATTTCATTGCAAAAGGCAGTCTTTAGCATACAAGCTTGGGAAGAAATCCCACTGGGGATAAATCGTATCCATTTCTGAGCAAAGAACGCATCGGATCAGGCTGCGGGGGGTGGCAGGAAGTGCCGTCAAGCTTCAGCCGACTTATGGAGACCCCATAAGGTTTTCAAGGCAAGAGACGTGCAGAGGTGGGTCTTCCATTGCCTGCCTCTGCATCAAAACCCTGGACTTCCTTGGCGGTCTCCCATCTAAGTACCAACCACGGCCGACCCTGCTTAGCTTCCGAGATCTGACGAGATCAGGCCAGCCAGAATCAGGGCAGGATCAGGTTGTAAATCAGTTCGGTTCCAAGTGTTTCGACAGAACTGGTTTGCCCACCCGGCAAAGTGCTGGCAATCGAGTTTTTGGAAAGGCAGTCCCCCCCCCGCTCA